ACAAAACAAGAGCTTGTGTGAAGGCAAAGCACATAATTTAAATAGTTAAGAGTCTGAAAAAATCTTTGGATTTGAAAATTGTATACAATAGAATCCTATTATATACAAAGTTGTTAAAAAAACAAAGGAAACCAGAATTATAAATATGTTATCATTCGCTGGGGAAAATTTCGAAAAAGAGCAGACCAAGAAAAAGCTAAGGTACCAATATGCAAGAAAATAATAAAAAAGGAACTAGAGAAGAACTAAGGTCTTCACAAGGCCCACAAGGCAGATCAAAGCACAAGGTGCAGTAAGGAACATGCCTCTAAAAAAGTGGCTGGAGCCTGAATGTGAAGGGTTACCGATAGTTGAGGGAAATTTTCCTTCTCCGAAACCTAAGCTCAAGCTTGTTGATAGAAAGCTCAATAAAGGAAAACCAGTAATGTCCCTTAGAGCTAGCATCTAGGGACACAACATCTACCTATGGATTAGTAGGGGTTGGACCACATACCACATAACCAACAAAATATATGGTTGGATTGGACTCTAGGGGCATGCCAAGGCATACCTTTAAATAGGGAATCTTTGGCAAGCCTATCTCATTGTTCTTGCCTCCATCTCTTATAGAACCCAGGTTTCAATCCACAATTCCAAGCATCAGAAATTAAAGATTTAAAAGGATGACCCAGAACTCCACTACAACTAAATGAATTAGAATAAAGAACTCCTAGACAGCTAGGTCTGTCCCCAACTACAAACTTAATACGATAGCAAACCACTTGAACTATACATTTTATAGGCTAGCATCCATACCTTAAGTTACAATTTTTGGTAACTTGATGAACAAAAATAATAAAACTTCTATAGCAAATAATTGTTAGGTACATGTCTCTAACAAATAAAACTTCTATAGCGATAATTGACTTATAAAAGTGCTTTAGCTAAAATAGATCCTAAGTCGATGAAATTTGAAGACAAGGTAAAAATCATATGACATATCCATATATATTTGTCTTCCACCTGGTCTGTTTCATTTGATTACATTTACTGTTTGTAGAAGGAAGATACTAATGGCAAAATCAACCATGTTACATTCAAATTGCTTCAAAAGCACTGATCTAAAGATCCTTCAAATGTGTATAAAGAACTACAGAAGAGAGTAAATAGGGAGAAGTGTTCCATTACATGAGTTAATTGTAGCTTTTGTTGCTGAAACGAGTCGAGAGGTTTGTAGCTTTACCTTTGGTTATCTAGGTTTTCCCTCAAGTCATAATGCTGGAGATCCTTTTTTTTTTTCATATAAGAAACCGATCTTTCAAGAGAAAAATGGAAGAATATACTAATCCTAAGGCTTCTCTTTGGGGCATAGTTGATGATAAAGTTCAAAAAAGGTCCAGTGCTTGGAGGGAAGCCTTCATTTTCAAAAAATAAAAAATGTAGACTCCCTTTCATCCAGTCATATATTGAATGGAATTTCACCCAAATCTTTTTAACAAGATACAAACTTTTCATTGATAGAAATTCCACCATACTTAGAACAGGGGAAATGGATTGTAAAACTATTGCCCTTTTATCCAAATGTTATGGAGATTTCCCTTGAGACCTCAAGCCTGGTTGTATCAAGTAATTGCTTAGTATGGGATCCACTCAAAAGTGGGACTCTGATGCGGGGGTCTTCGAGAACCCCTTTAGGGGCCTGAGAAAGGTGATCTCCCAATGTCTCTCAAGTTTTCTACCATTTATTAGATTTTCAGTGGTAGATGATTGTCAAGTTCATTTCTAGGATTCTTGGCTTCAAAACTATACCTAGTGCTCTTTTGTATTCTTTATCTCTTACCAAAACTTCCTGATTTCAATTGATATTTCAGGTGTTTTCACTAGTAAGTATATGTACACGATTAATTCTTCTTCTTCGAACCATCCTTTCTCCGGTAGATTTTGGAAGTTGAAGAAATAACCATTCTTTTGTTGGCTTTTCGTGGACTTTATCCAGAGAGCCTGCATCTCTGTCCTTGGAACCACCTGCTCTATTAAGACTTAAGCCACCCACCTCTTGTGGCTGTGGGTTTTCCCTTTTGCTCCCAAAGTGTTGGTGTTGATTGTGACAAACGTTCAGCTTTTCTATGTTCTAGAATTTGAGTTTTTGCAGAAGATGTCATCTAGGTCCTCTTTATTTTTTGGAGCCGAAGATAGTTTACTAAGGCATGTTGGTTTTATAGTTTTTGGTTGTTTGGTGGAAGGTTTGGTCAAAGAAAAAAAGAACCTTTCGAGTTCGGATAGATCATAAAAGAAGGCTCAGGGTTTGGCACATATTACACCTCTCTTTAGATTCATACTTCTAAAGTCTCTTGTACTTGGCCTTTGTTCTTGATCTTGGTCACCAACAATTTAAGATCCTTTTTCAAAAGTTTTTCTAATCCCTATGTTGACTGTTGGACCTTTTTTTAAGGGCAACCTAAACCCGAAAGCAAGTTTGATAATTGAAAAAGAACTAATGATATAATTGGTAGACATACTGATCTGGATATTTGACATTTGTGCAAGATCGAGCACAAAGCATAGGAAAACAAGGTTTCTGGACACCAATGTGGTTACTAAGATCAACTGTTCAGTTAACAACAGGAAACTTAGTCTACTAGATAACGAACATAATTAACCGAAAAATAAAAGGGAAAATCAGCAATACACCTCCAATGGCAGAAAATGAATATTATGAGATCATCCCTATCAGAGATAAGCAAGAATAAATGTCATAAGGTGCGCAAGGACTCAGCATAGCCTATCTAAATCTTACAACTTCATCCTTGAAGCTGCCAACATACATAAAGCAATATCAGAGTTTACACACCAAAAAACCTGCAATGTAGATTCATAATTCAAAAAAATACCTGATCTTCAATGTACCAAAATCACCATGGCATGAACATAAAAATCAAATATCAAATTTGGAATGTGCAGAAAGGCATGTACATGGAAAATAGGTCATTTGAAACTAAAAGTAGCATACTGCGTCGTCATGCCAAATCAGTCTAGTTCAAGTACAGCTTGAAAACCATATATAAGCAGATGTCCTAAAATTTTTATCACAAAACAACACTTCAGATTCAGACCTAATTATCAATGCTTTGTGCTTTGAACCTCAGGCCCTCCACAAGACACATCTTGGATGGATATGGTGCACTGGCCTATCTGTGTCCTTGAGCTCGTTGCATGTCATATGCACCCCAGGAAACAGATCCAGCTCCATATGGAGGATAACCATCTGTACCAGACTGTACCTATGATTTACAGCAAAGCCATAATAAGCCATTCAAAAAATCTGAGAATGATAGATAAAGGAATCAAGAAGGAAGAAATAATAATGGGAAATGACAAGAATAGCAATGACCTAAAACCCAACATGCTTGTCCGGAATTGGAAAGCGATCCTTCATTATTTTTTGTTGGGCGGGGGCTTTCTCATCCCCCGGCCTTTTGACTGTTACTTAATCATTTATCAATACAATCACATCCATGTTCATGATAAATAAATAAATAACATGCTTGCACAGAAATTAATACATAAAACTGAAAATAATCCAAGAAAGCCTCTAGTGTATGTGTCTATGTTGTCTTATGACAAACCCTTTATTTACTGCACATAATATGGGAACAGGCTTGTACTTATTACCTTTTTTTTTTCTTGATAGGAAACAAAGTACTTTTTTGGTCCTTGATTGGTGTTGTCAGAGATGTTAATGTGCAAGGTACCTGATGTTTACAAACCTTGCTTGGATTTAGGAAAGTGGAGTACAGCATTGCTTCCAGTTATATATAGAGGTTTGGGGGATGGGTCTTTTAATCAGAGAAATAGTACACTCTTGATGAAGTGGTTGTGGAGTTTACTCGAGAGGAATCAGCCTTGTGGAAGAAAGTGATAGTTAGCATTTATGGTTGGTTGGGAAACTTCTTCGAATGGGAGATAAGAGTGGGTTGATATTACTATGGAAAGAGGTTTCTTCTTTCAGAATCTTAATTTTAGATTGGAAGATGAAAAAAGAATCAGATTTTGGTAAAATTGCCGGCTTGGTTCAAAGGCGCTTTTCCAATCTTTCCCTACATGTACGTGATTTCCTTGAAAAAGACTTTAAAAAGGGGCGGTTGTTACAAATTGTTGGAAGGAGAATAAGCAGCATGGGACTTGGGGTTAAGGAGAGAGCTTTTTGATCGAGAGGTGGAAAGTTGGGTGGCCCCTCTTGTCTGGGCCCACAGTGGTGCGTTCTCTGTAGGAATGCCTCAGAAGACCTTGAGCATTTGTTGTGAACTTGTCAGTTTGCACAAGATCTTTGGCTTTGTTTCTTTAGGTGTTTTGGGATGATATGGGTTCGCACTAGGGATTGTAGGACGATGATGGAGGAGGTGTTGTTACACCCTCCTTTTTGGGATAGGAGGCGTTTCTTGTGGCAAGCTTTTTTTTTGGCTACTCTTTGGGGATTTGGCTGGGGAGGAATCACAAATTGTTTAGGGGGTGGAGAAATCTGTGGATTATGTTTGGGAGCTCATTAGATTTAATACTTCGTTATGGGACTTTGTTTCCAAGGCCTTTTGTAATTATCCGTTAGGATTCATTCTAGGGGGCTCCCTTCTTCTGGGCTGTCTTTTTGTAGGCCCTTTTTGTATTTCCTGTACCTTGTTTCATTTTTCTCAATGAAAGAGTAGTTTCTTATCCAAAAAAAAAAGAAAAAGAAATTGGCTCTGTCTGTTTGGGCAGAGAGAAAGACTCAATTTTATGGGCTTCTTAATCTACAGGTGAGTACTCGACCAAATTTAGGTTCCTTAGCCTAACATACTATCCCCTCAAGGAGGAACATAGTGGTGAATCTAGCGTGGAACTTCAAAGTTACTAGAAAGGTGAAATTTTTTTTTCTTTGGTATTTGACCTATAGTATAGAAGTCTTAATACTCGAGACAAATTGCAAAGGAATATGCCAAATTGGTCCTCATCCCCTCCCCTCTATGTTGTTATCTATGATATAGAGACAATGAGTGCTCGTTTGGTAACATTCCCGTTTCTTGTTTCTCGTTTCCAGTTTTCTTAAGAAATCTAAGTATTTTAAACTAACTGTGTTTCTTGTTTCTTCTATTTTTGGGAACATTCTCAATATTGTATAGAAATTTTGGAAACAACCAAAACAAGTTTCTTCTTTCTTGTTCCCATTTCCAATTTGTTCCAAAACATAAATAAAATGATTGTTTTGTCATAAAAGGATTGTTTTCATGGATGTTGGAGTCATGAAATTCATTTCTCTTTATTAAAAATGAAAAAACAGGAACATTACCAACGGGCCCTAAGTCTTTGGATCATTTATTCCTTCATTGTCCATTTGCTTATAGGGGTTGGACCTTCTTTTAGAGGAGGTTGGTCTCTCTTTATGTTTGCCTTATCGTATTGAAGATTGGTTGTCTGAAGCTTTTGGGATTTAAGGGGCAAGTTCTCATTGTTTTCTGTTTTAATTGAAATATTCATCCACATTCCACAAACTTGAACAGTAGATATTTATATCCACGTGTCAAACATTTTCTTCTTGCCCAGATTTATCAGATTCAGCACTACTCAAACAACCAACCAGGAAAACATTGAACAAAATAAAAACTTACGGAGTTCATGCCATAGTTTGATGAATATGGATTTCCAGCATATCCAGCATCAGCATTGCCATAATTTGCACCATACCCTGCAGCTAGATAGAAATTATTTAATCACATTCAGAGAGAACATACAACAATGTGAGGTACAGAACGTTTCAGGTGATGAGATATGTTGCATAAAACTAACCAATGCTCTCATCTAAGCAATATCCTTTTTTCAGTTACAGACCATAGCCATATTAACGTTCCTCAAGAATCTATTGTTGACCTCTCACAATGTTCAAGAAAAACTAACTTGGTTTGAGGTAAGAAACAACCAAGAAAGAAAAGGGAGAAAAACTAATCCAGTAACTTTTCTTCACAATTTAACTACAGTTTCCGTACAAGTAACAGCTTAAAAGAATGTGAATACAGATAAGGGGGTTTAATGCAAGCCACTCACGTCTGCAGCCCCAACATTATATACAGCATCAAGTTGCTGGAAAATATTAGGTATTGCCATTATCATGTTTATGGTAGAAAGTATTTCAATTATTTAGTATTCAATAGCCTACAATAGTGAATCACTTCAACTATCAATTGCTAAGAAGCACGGACACGGATACGGGACACGGACACGGACACGATAGGACACGGCGATACGTCAATTCCTAAAAAATTAGGACACGGACACGTTGGGATACGTTTTTTTTTTATTTTTTTTAGGATATATGTAAATTTAACACAAAAAATATTTAAAAAGTCCTTGT